ATATATGTTTAATAAATCGGTTTTGTTCAAATGCAACAAAATATATTCCCTACACTACCTGACGAAAGTCTTGTTGTCTTAAGTTTTAGAAACAACATATAATAATAACTTGACTTCGAGTTGATCCTTTGGTATCAGAAGTGGCTTATATGGAAGGCAAAGGCCTCTAGAATACTCTTATTATACCAAAATAAAATATGATCATGCCTTGATTTTTAATTATTTAATTAGGACAGTAAGGTCTGACTTTGCTTAGATAAAAGTCTTGTCACATAAATAATGTACAGGATAGAATATAAAGTCATGGAGCAATGGAAGAAGAATTAATATTGTGTACGACTCCCATGATCTTGGAGGACTGCATCCATACATTACATCTTTGCTATGACTTGAACGGCAAAGAAAGTGTTCTTGCAGAACTACCAAAGTTAATCGAGATTCTTTGGATTCATCTTCACTGGCTCGTCCATCTTACCCCAGACATGCACAATAATGTTCATATCTGGTGACTGGTCTGGCCAACCCTGTAGCACCTTGACCTTCTTTGCTTTCAGGAACTTTGATGTAAAGAAAAATCTACATTCTGCCACTTTGCCAATGGATCATCTACAATTCAAGTTATTACTTGTTGCTCTTACAACTGAAATCGACGACAAGACTCACTTAATGGATATAAATATTAATTTAATAAACGTAGTGTACTCATGCTGAGCACTGAATATGTAATTTTTTTTTTACTTTTGATTTATGATTTATAATAATGGTACGGGATTAGGTTAAACATTTTTTTTAATTCTGTAATTTTATGGTTTTCATAGCTGTACAAGACTTAAATAATTGAACATAAAATAAAAGCTTACAGTAAATGAAACCAGAATTCAAATAAAACTAAATTAATTTATAAATAAAAATACAAGTTGCTAAAATACCGGACACAGCAGAGTTCTGACTTCTTAGCTCTGATAAATTTGCTAAGAAATGTCCTTTTTTTTTTTTTTTAAGATAACCCCAAACTCTAAAGCAGTGTTTCTCAACCACATTCCTGGAGGACCACCAGCTCTGCACATTTTCCACATCTCTGTAAACAAACACACCTGATTCAGCTTATCAGGTCTTTAGCAGAGACTGAAAGGACTGAAGGAGACATCCAAAACATGCAGTGTTGGTTGGTCCTCCGGGAGTGTGGTTGAGAAACACTGCTCTAAAGAACTCCATTAAAGCCTATTAGGAATTCTCTGCGTAAAATTTCCATTAAAATGCCAGGTGTCCTCACCAGTGTTTTAAAAAGTCGTTTCATTCCTTCCTTTCAAGACGTCTCTCCCCAGAAACCTAGAAAACAAAGCCTTACACAGTTATTCAGTGCTTTGGGCTGTCAATCACACACACACTCTCTGACGAACACATGCTGAAAACAAGAAAAACAGAGCGAACACTGTTGTATTAAAAGTCTTTTATTCTGTTCTGCTCGCAGCACAGCATAGTATAGTCTCCCGTGGTCGAGCGGCCCAGCGAGTGGTCCCCCCTGTGAGGCTCCCCGAATGAGAGGAGTATATGGCACAAAACCTAACACAGTGGTACCGGGGGGCACTACCGTCCTGGCACAGAGTGGCATAAAACATAACTGGCTCTGCTCAGCTACATTATCAGAAAGTATTACAGAGCAGCATCGCATGTGTTTCACAATGCAGATTGGCACAGACAGAGCGCACACACATACACTTTCCAAGAGCCAGACCTGTGTGTGAGACACGCATGGAGACCGCAAAGCTTTTTTTAGACAGAGCCGGGTCGATTCCGTCTTACAACACTTCAAAAGTTGCATCGCCACACTTTCACCACACACACACCGCAATCGTAGCGTTGGTTATTCGCAACAGAAACTTGTCGTGGTCGATGTTATTCATAAAAACACAGTTGAAGACTGGTCTCTGATGTCAGCTGTTATGAGACGAGAGAGGACAACGAGACAAAAGAAGACCAATTCAAAGAGAATCAATTTAGTCGATAAACATTCTATATATATATATATATATATTTATATATGTTCTTTGTTGAAATATATCATTTATATCTATATGTCTTGTATATATTCATATGCTGCTGCTTCGATTAGAGACGTATACTTAGAGTAATAAACGTAAACGAACAAATTAACGAAACATTTACTGTCAAAGACACTATCAACACAACAAGACACATGTCTAGAGAAAGGCCTTTTGAAGAGTCTTGATTGGCGGCAGGTTTTACTCTGTGCAATATGCCTGATATTTTGTTGTTCGACAAAAAACAAAGGAGAAGAAAACGTCCTTGCTGATTCAGCCTGTAAATGTTATCAAAGCGCTGTGCTGAATTTAATAAGCGTATCAAAATGGAAAGAGAGGTGAAGATTATTTTCCGCAGCTAAAACATGATCATACTGTTTAGTTATCGAGTCCGCCAAAATAAATGGTTGAAAACAATACTGTTGTCTTCAGCTATACTGCTTTGCTGAACAGCTATTTCTCTATTGCTATCTAAACGTCACAAACACGTATATGAGGTACATCTATATATAAAGTAATCCAGACACGTATTACACAAAGTTGGAGTCAAAAGGATATACATACATAAGCTGCCAAATATTCAAATTGTTAATGTCAAAATACATAGAGATACTCTGAAACCCATGACGGCGAGGCAGAGCGTTATGATTCTGACATGATTTGTGTTAGATCTGCTATCCCGATTGCTCCAAACTGTTTAAAAAACAAAAACCATCCATTTTTCTAGTACTCCATTTGTCAATACTGTTTAGCCCATGACAGCGAAATTAACCCCAATTTATTAATACTAGTAAAAAGCTCAGCATACAACAAATAAGCTTAATATGGCTCAGATGCAGATACAAGCGCGCGCGCACACACACACACAACAATTAGCCTGTTGGACTGTATCGCGGTTCTGAGTCAAAAATGCACTGTAAAAAATAAATTCATACATATAGAAATAACACTTTTCAAACCCAAGTTAGTCAAAGCCATGTCTGAAAGTAAAAAAAAAGTAGCTTTACATAAAAAATTACATGAATTTATGATTAATAAAAAACAATAGATAATAATAAATAATAAAAAAAAACAATCAGATCAAAACAACCACAGGTTGGTTTTGAGTTTAATGTGATTTAAACATCTACTGTTCTGAAGAATTCTGAAGAAAAAAGATAACTTGTTTAATATATACACTAAACGGCCACTTTATTAGGTACACCTTACTTATACCGTACCCCTTTTGCATTCAGAACAGCCTTAATCCTTTGTGGCATAAATTCCAAAAGGTACTGGAAATATTCCTAAGAGTTGCTGCAGATTTGTCAGCTGCACATCCATGATGCGAATCTCTCGTTCCACCACACCCCAAAGGTGTTCTATTGGATTGAGATCTGGTGACTGTGGAGGCCATTTGAGAACAATGAACACATTGTCATGTTCAAGAAACCTTGAGATGACTCAATATGCGCAATATGACCCAAGGTTGGAGCTGGGTTGTAACGAGTGGTTATTTTGGACCATTTGCTGTATAGATGGTTGTGCGTGAAAATCCTAGTAGATCAGCAGTTTCTGAAATACTTAAATCAGCCTGTCTGGCACCAACAACTATGCCACGTTCAAAGTCACTTAAATTCCCTTTCTTCACCATTCTGATACTCGGTTTGAACTGCAGAAGATCGTCTTGACCATGTCTACATGCCTAAATGCATTGAGTTGCTGCCATGTGATTGGCCAATTAGAAATTTGCGTAACTAGCAGTTTGACAGGTGTACCTAATAAAGTGGCCTGTGAGTGTAGTGTTTATTGGCCTTGTCATGGCAGCATACTTACAAAAATCGGCAACTGACTATTACTCTAAAACAAAAGAAACTCAAAAAGACAGTGAAATCGTTGCTAACTGACGTTTAAACAAAATAAAACACAACATAGTTGACTCAGACCTGCTGCCAACACGCATTGCCCTTAGCAATATTCACAGTCGATTATAGCGATCACTTCAAGATGCTAGCTTTTAACAAATGGTAAAAGCAAAATTAAAGAAAGATCTACCTGACTGGTTTGCTAATCAGTCTTTTCCTCACAGTTAACAGAATACTCCTTCTGGCTATATATATTTATTTTTTTACTGAACAGATATGTCTATTAAAAGCATAAAATTGCAACTCTATTTTTGACCAGTTTATCTTTGCTGCTACTTTTACAGCTTAAGCAAACTTGCTAAGCAAGTATGAATATCTTGTCCGGAGATAATAAATGGCAGAGCAGAGCAGCTTGTAAAAAAAGGTGTAAAAACACAGTGTTAAACTGTAAACAGTGCTCTCCTTCAGTTATCGCTATCTGAATGATGACACTCGGTTAGCAAGTACAGTGCTGCAATACGGCTAGCCCTGTCATCCTGGCACTCACAACATCAGCGTCCAAAGCTAATCTAACCGGCTCCGATGAGAAGGTCTCCCCCAAGCAAGCTACGATTTTAAAAGTGTCTTGGTTGCAGCGCACTGTGTTCTCATGGCAACATGTACATTCAGTCGAGAAGGGAAGGGCTTCCACTGATTATAGGTAGTTGTAACATTGCATGTGCCCTACGGTAATACAGCACAGTGCTTATATTCTTTTAATAACACAACCGTTTGGAACCAGATCACAAAACATATATAATATATATAATAAAATAACTTTTAAATATAAAATATATGTATTGAATGCTGTTTGTAGTTAATTATGTATTGCTCAAGGGACTAGAATGAGACATGAAGACCAGTGAAATGATTTCAACAGAAAAAGACTGTACATCAGCTCCACGTGAGTTTGGCATTCAGCTTCAGTAAGCCAATATGAGATCAGTCATGGCTAACTTACCCTGTTGCTAGGAATACAAACACTGACAACAACACACAGAATGCTATATGTCGGTTTGCAGAAGGTGGAGGTCAAGAAAAATGTGCTGAGAGAAAAAAAAAAATGGATTGCTACTTTCCTTTGTGAATGCTTCCCTTGAGATATTTTGAACAAATACACACAACAACTACATGATTCAGAGCTCTGAGAGCAAGTGAGGGAGAAAAAAGGTGGTTGTGGGGCATTAGGGCTTTGTATTTTGACCTCAGAATCTCCCCTCTTAAAATCGTTCCTGAGCCATCAAGCAGAAAATCATTCCACAGAAAATCACATTTACCCACATTATCGGAGCTCCACCTTAAATCCCCCAAGACGTAAGAGAAGCAAAGCCAATCCCTTATGAACAGCCTCTCTTACATTGACAAGATTTGTCAGCATGGCAGTATTCCATTCTTATACAAGTAAAAAGAAAGGGCTACACTTTCAGTCACATCCCAATCCAGGTTTGTCTCTTAGGAGCATTAGAGCTTTGTGCAAGAGAAGGGTGCCACAAAAACAACCCAACTCGACTGCTTTGAACAGTTAACAGTTTGTGGTGTGAGCAGGTGACTTGATTGCCCGTAGGGGCTGCTTGCTGATGTTCCTCATTTAATTATGTTCCTCAGACCTCACTCTCCACACTAGAGAAGTGAGCAGAGCCTCGACGGGAGCACATGTTCTTGGTTTTAAGGGGAAGATGTGGGGATTGATACCTTTGGGGTTGGGGAACTGATCGCAGTTTCTGGTATTGGAGCTTAGCACTAGAGGAGGACAATGAGGAGGGCTGTGGTGCACCGGGTGTAGATGAGATAACTGATGGGGAGGAAACTGAGGAGGAGGAGGTAGGTGGAGGTACGTGTATATGATGAGAGGAAGAGGGTGGTGCTGGGAGTGCAGGAACCATTGGAGAGGGTAAAGATGGCGGTAGGCTTTGAGGAGGGGACGGTGGTTGTCTGGACCGGTCTGCGCGTTGGGGTCTTTGTGCAACCTTGTGGAGGTTGGACTGGCTTCCAGATTTTGCCTGGCTCTGAGCCCGATCCTGTTTCGATGATTGCCGTTTAGGTCTGACGCTGCTGCTGAAACTGTGGCAGTGGGGGAGGAGCTCCTCCTGACTCCTAGAAGTGACCCGATTCCATTTAGAGTGAGCGCTGGCGGAGTGATGGGGGGACTGGCACGAACAGGACGTGTGGCCTCGACTCTTCTCTTGAGACCTGCTCTTAGATTTCTTTTCAGTCTTGACTGGTAATTTATCTACAGACCAGTATCTCCGTGGAGGTGGAGGAGTTAAAGGAGTTTGAGGCCACTGGTTTGATCCCAAGCCTCCTGATCCCCATCCTGTACCAAACCCCAAGCTACTTTCTCCTCCACCCCATCCCAAAAAAGAATCATCTCTACTGTTTATGCTACCTCCTCTTTCTCTGGCAGGGTAGGTGCCAAAAAACCATCCTCCCCCTCCAATGCCACCAACTGCCCTTCCTTCGTGACCCTCCCAGTATCTCTCAAACTTACCAAACTCTCCTGAGGAACCTTCATCATCTGTGTATATCTCAACAGTTTTTTCTCTGTCCCTTTCAGACTCTGAGTCCATTCCTCTACTTTCCCGTCGTCTCCCCTGTTCTTCTGCCCTATTTCTTTCCATTTCAGACTCCTCATCTTCTTCCTCAGAATCCCATTCGTGAAATGACAGGCCTTCTCTTGAGCAAGGCTTACCTCTACCATTTTTACCTAAAAGAGGCCGACTCTCTCCACCTCTACCTCGCTCATCTCTCTCAGTTCCCACAGATTTTCGTCTTTTAGAGGCAATGGGAAGCAGGGGCACAAAGGACGATGGCGACTCAGAAGTTGGGTTCCCGCTACCCCAAAATTTAACGGTCGAAGGAGGTTTGTTTGAAGCGGAAAAATGCTTGTTATTGGACCTTGGTCTGGAGTGGCGATGAGATTTTGGGCTTCTTTGATGCCTTTCCTTTCCCCTACTGCCTTCTTCATCATCTCCTCCTTGATCATCCCTGTCTCTCTTAACAGCATCTCTATCCCATTCATAACTCCTTGTAGAGCTTTCACTCTTTTTTCTGAAAGAACTGCGTCTTGGTGCAGGATAAGAAGAGTATTCCTGTCCTATTCCTTTTTCGAACACATCTTTTCTGTCCACATCTACCTCCTCTTGTTCAGATCGCTTTTCCCTCTCTCTTTTTCTGGCCTTCTCTTCTTTTTTCTTTTTCTTTTTCACTTTACGTCTTTTACGTTCCCTTTCTCTTTCACGATCTTCTCGCTTCTTTTTCTTTCTACCCTTCTTCCTCCTCTTTCTCTCCCTTTCCCTTTCTTTGTGATGCCGTTTCTCCTCCTTAACTTCTCTATCTCCAGCTGCCCTTCTGCCTTTCTCTTTCTCACCCCAAGATGCCCACCACTCTTGAAGTTGTGCAAGCTGGCTGCCTGCTCTGTCTCTCACCTGCGGCCGCAGTGCACAAGGCTTTCGGGGTGGTATAGGTGGTGGTGGAGGACTGCTGGGCAGTGAACGAGAGGACATACGTGAACGACTTTTTCTCCTCCCCAAAAGCAAGCTTGACTCTTCTGTAAGCTCATCGGTGTCATAGTCCTCATATAGGTCTCGTACATCTGCCCGGTATCTGAAGCTCTGTGATGATGTGTATGATGATGAAGAGGAGGGAGAATTAGATCTGGAGATTGATTCTGAAGAGGAGGATGAACTGGAGGTGCTAGAGCTGCTAGAAGAAGTGGAAGTGTAACATATGGATGGCGAAGGTGTGGGTGGAGTTTGTGTTGGTGACGAGAGGGGCACAGGTATAGGCAGTGGAAGGGGAGGAGGACGACGACCTCTTCTCCCACCACCATCCCTTATTCCATACCTGCCACCACCTCTCCTTCCAAGTGGAAGGATGTTTTCATATAGTGGTCCCCCTGAGCCCTTCCTTTTTGATAGACTGCTTCTTCTCCAGACGGATTGCTGAGGTGGAGAGGGATGTTGTAATGCAGGGTTAATTGTATGTCCAGATGTTTGGCCTTTAGGAGGTAATCGCGGGTTTCCAGAGGATTTTGTGCCACGATGCTTAGTTTTTGGCGTTTGAGTGCCCAAATTTTGAGGCTCTACAGAGACTCCTAAGCCCTCTGGATCGATTGGGCCATAGTATCTCTTGTACTCATCCAGACCTCCCTCCCCTCCAGTTATTCCTGCACCCCAATGAGGGGGCATGCCTTGGAACGGGGTTAAGTCTGTAATCCCACCACTCACACCACTGGGCTTCTCAGAGCCCACCTTTGGACGCGTCCACCGATCCACCACAGCCAATCGACGATCATGACGTGGTAGGAATGTAGAGCAAGGCATGGGTGCTCCGAGAATGGGACTGTTCGATGGCCCTAAAGCCATTGCAGAATGTCCACCTGATGGAGGGGAGCCAGGAAGAAGAGCACTGTAGACTGGTGGCTGCTGGTGGTGTTGCTTTTGTTGCTGCTGCGGCAGTTGTTGTGCCATAGCAATAGGGGGATTGGCCACAGCCGTTGAGATCACATGAGGGGGAGGAGGAGGAGGAACTGTGGAGACGTGATGGTATTGAGGAAGTGTGCTTTGGGAACCTCCAGGAGCTGTTTCATCCTCGAAATTGCAGCAGCTGTACATTCCCTGTAAGAGATAACAAGCGAAAAATTTATTTAGCAAACAGTTCAGAATATCATAATTTTTCCTCTGGTGACATACAAACAGATTTAGACGCTAGGAAAATGTCTCAGTAAAGACGTGAAACATTACCATAATAATGAAATCGTAAAGCTCCCAGTGCTTTCATGATGCAAGAATACACACAGTGTAAGCTCAGCTAACCTTTCTCTGAGGTAATGACAACGCTGACCCTACTGTTTAAGTGTCCCATCTAACCTGCCTTACAATTCCCTCATAAAAAGTCTGTTTGCTTACAAGGGGGGATTGAAGAGTCTTCTTATTCTTTCCACAATTTAAGCACAAACAGGTTGTGATAAGACAGATTGAATCTTCCGTCATCCCCATCTTCCGTAATTCATTACAGTGAGAGAAGTTAGGGCTTTCATAAAATCCCTCTGTGTGTGCTGGGGGAATGCTGGATATGCCATCACATTTTAAAAACGACAGGAATTAAAGGAGTGTGCTGCACAGTCCCCTTCTAAGGATTTAACGGCTGATTGCTGCAGATTACTGCGTGTCAGTCTTTGTTCATTCTGCGTGTAACATGAATTACAAAAAAGGTTATCTTGCCATTTATTTACAAATACATTGAAACAATTACAATTTTATTTCTTAGGTTTACTCTTCCACTTTCTGGGGTACTGATTTCAGTCTGAAGAGCCTGAATGAATTTGAGGCACAACAATTTTTTAATGCGTTTTATCAGCAGAGTTGCATAAGAAATATTCATAAAATGAGTATATTTATCAGTTAATTAAATGTTTATTACCATTCATAAGCCTTCAAACACACTTCCTGGATTTTGAAAATACAAGCATTTAATTCATACCATTCTGTGTGGTTTCTAAATATGAATGGGAATCCTTCGGAAAAATCCAGAGCACACAGCACAAATCTCTCTCTCGCTCATACACATTAAAGTCCCTAAGGGAGAACCCGTTTTATCAGTAGCGTAAATGACTGGGAAAAACCATTATTCTACAAATCATTTATTTATAAATCAAACTCAGATGGTACATTTAACAAACGTAAAGTCATTTGCAGCCTTTTATATAATGAAACAGACTTATCAGCGAAGCACAAAAAGTGAAACATTATCCACAAGAGGAACGCCGTCATTCATAAAAATGTTAATGCAATCATCAGTGGAGGACTGTGGGTCAGTGGTTGGGGATAGGAAAATATGCACATATATTCTGAGTGCCATTAACATTAATTGAAGAGCTATAATTACATTTACTTTCTTTAAAAATAATTAACACACATCACATTAATATTTTACTAACAATTGGCAGCTCTAACATTTATAGTACAACAAGATTTATTAGGGACACTCACCCGACTAAAAGCCAGTAAGAAGTCAAGTCCTCTTGTCCGGCCTAAACAGTGGCGGAGCTTCCAATAGACAAGATGCTCCCATGCAAACACCAGCAGACTCAAGCCCATGGCAACCAGAAGCATGTAGAAAACTCCTGCCATGTTGTCTATGTCCAACTTGGAACTCATCACCTCGATCTTATCATTATGGCAGATCCCGGACAGCCAGAGTCGTTCAAGCATGTCGATCTCATCTGAACAAAATATGTGCACAAAGACAGGAGATAAGATAAGCAGGCCTACAAACAGGAGACAGATGGACAGACAGTGGAGATTCAAAAAAGAAGAGGAGTCGATTCAAGCCCTATTGTTGGGAACAGTGAGACTTTAATTCAAATCTCCAGACTTGTCTTGGTTTAGCTTGGGTTATTATTACACTGTGTTCACAAAAAGGTGAAAATGGAAAAGAAAAAACAGAGGAAGAAAATCATGAAAGGCAAGGAGGAGGAACGAGAGATCCAGAGAAAGAGGGACTGGAGGATAATAACAGCTTTGATGGAGGTCTGAAATGGCCTGGTTTCGAGGCTCTTGTGATAAGACAGGCCTGGAGTAGTTTGGAGATGAAAGCTCTAGACTGATGGGCCTACCTCCCAACAATAGCCATTAGTGCATTTATCAGAGTGAAAATGTCACAGTGAAAAAATAAAGGCATGACAAGGGCATGTTTCTGGCAGAATAAACAACATATGCATTTAGATGTCGGCTTTATATCGAGGATTACTCCTTCACTCAGAAGAACAGAGAGAGAGATAAGTCTAAATCCTCTTTTCATTTGAAACAAAGCATGAAAACATTTCTGCATTGACCCGCAGGTTTGTCTCAACGCTGCCTTGAACTATGGCTTAGGTAATGGGGAATTTAATCACAGCGACTGAAATCATAATATTTTTCATCACATTTATTCAGACAAACAAAAACCAGCCCTAATGAGAATTCCAATCCAAATTGGAAGGCATCAAAATTAAAAATCGAGGCGTTCAACTAGCATGCTGTTTGTTGAAGTGACCCTTCGGCTATTCGTAATTGTGTTCAGTTGCTGTGACGCGTTTTCCAATTCCATTATTCATATTTCACTGAGACTCTTCCAGCTCCCTTTCACATTTAGTCTTTAATCATTACAGGGAAACTCGCTAGGCTAACACAGATCTGGAAAAAAAGACTAAAAAACACTGTATTATGCATGCTAGGCCAGTGATTGGCGATGTTGCAGAAACACAATGCATCCAAAAGTCTGTTTTTGTTCTTTTGGTTGACAAGTACTCGTGTGGAGGTACAGTCTGGACACAGCAAATGCAACTTTCGCTAAATCACATTCTTTTAGTTCACATAGCAATGATAACTGTTTGTTCACACCGAAAGCGGAGAGAGCGTCAAAGTTGGCTTTAGCCTCCTGGCCACAATACTGTCACATTGATCTCGTATTTAAAGGGCCATGAAACCCCCCTCTTTTGGTTCAAGTCTACCTCAGAATAAAAAAAAAATGCTTAGAGACGGGCGTGGAGCTCTGCGAGCAGAGTGAGGAGTTGGCATGGCCAGCAGAGCAGGGGACAAAGAGGGGAGCGAACAATGATCAGTTGGCTCACAAAATGAGACACAAACCGTGATGAGACCCATGATTTTATAGTTTACAAGGTTAAAATGGAAAGAAAGAAACAGTAATTTAATGCCCTGCTACATTGGTTACTCGTGAATTCATATACACATAATCACAATTTTTTCTATCATTATAAAGATAATCATGTTTACATAAACTCTATAAATAAGGAGGACTTATCTCCTCTTCAATGCCCAGGTCTGAATACAGACACAGTGGATAGCAATGCAGCAGGTCTCTTGCCCTGTCTACTCCAACCATTAACCCTTTCGGTAATCTAAAGGATTTTAAATGTAGGCGAACTCGACAGAACTGATAGGTGATGTGTCTGAATGGTAACAAACTCAACTGATAAAAGACAAAGTCCACCATTCTCCAATTCTCGTGCAACTCTATCGACAAGAATCTATCGACAAGCTATCAACAAACCCAGTGGATCATGGAAACAAACACATACAACCCGTGCCGTGCGCAGACGCGGTCTCACTCAGTCATTGGGCAGGTCTGCCTTGCCTTTGGAAAGCATGCGCAGTCATGAATAATAAAGAAAGCAGGGTCATCTCAAGCATAAGAAAACTCCGCTATGAATAATAATGAGAAACCGACGTGTCATCACTTCATTAGCACACTCGCGCTACGTCACCGATTTTGATACCACCCCAAAAAATATTTTAAACTCTGAAAATTAGCTGACAAAAGCTCCAAATTATCCACTTTTCCCCACAATTAAAGCTGACAGATGCTAACATTGTCTTAACTGATGCTCAACACACACAAATCTGGTAAAAATTAGTTTAAAACAAGTTAAAAAAGTACTCCAGGCTGTCTTGAACCTTCAAGTCTTAAGAGTTATCGGTTATCGCCCAAAAAATCCATATCGGTGCATTCCTACTTGACGCCCACACTGGTGAAGACTCACTGCTATTCGCTGCTCATTGCCACCAGCTCCCATTAAAAATGAATGACTTCCGCTACTTTGACGCTCTCGTGGCTTCTGGTGTACAGTAAGAAACTAATTTTCTTTGCTGTCTTGTACTGTAAATAAACAGCAAAATGCATGACAAATTATGGTGAAATTCTCTTACCATCTCCGACTAGCTGCAGGAGCGCAAGGTCGAGTGGACGCTTCCAGCGTGAGTTCTTGTGTAAGGCAACTCCATATCCTGTAGTAGCAAACACTTTTCCAGAGCCGATGGTCATTACTTTACAGCCCTCATCTTTACGAGCCATGTAGTTCAGGACAGCTGCATCATATATGAATGCATCCAGTTTGCTGCAGAGACAAAAAGGAAATGGGAAAACAAAACAACAAGGCATGAGGAAATTACTTTAGGGTGCTTTCACACCTGTGCTTCAAACCCAGTGCAACAAATGATACACTGAAGCATTTTACTCTGGTTTTTGTTTCTTGCCCCACCACACTGATTGTCCTTATCTGAACCAATTGAAACCTAAAATGCGACAACATCCATGTCCCTCGTTGACCAGATGTGTCATTGAATACAGTTCCTAAGCTGCTTTTTAATTGGTCAGGATTAAGATTTGCGAATACACCTACAGAACTCCTCAAAGTAAACAAACAAAGGTTGAAAAGTCAGCAGGCAACACAACACTTGTTAGTATGGAGAGATGACTGTGCTGGCTGACAGTATCCCTGGTCATCATAGAGTGTATTATATAGTTTGAATGCATCACTTCAGACAAATGATACATTTTAAGAATGAAGCGCAGATGCAGCTAGAAAACAATAATTTTATGTAGCAAAAAAAAGGTGCATCACAAGTCTGCAGTCTTCCATAATAGGTAAAACATTACAATGGAAGTCCATGGCGGACAGTTTCTGCACTTTTTCTAAATATTTTCTACAGAGGAAAAACTCAAAAAGGCTTTGACCAAGTGAAGTGTGAGTAAACTAAGTAACTACTTTTTTCCTCCCTGCAACAGCCTTTAAAGACCAATAGATTTCTGTGACCTTTCTATGAGTTTTTCTGGAGTTGTGTTTTATATATAAAAAGGTTATTTCATTCAAAAAGAGCCAATATAATAGTTCAGAGCCACTTAAAGGTTTGTGTTCAGAATAGTTTTAATGTGATATTTCATAATCAAATTAATTAATTAATTAAATGCTTTAAAAATGTTGGAAAAAATGTGCAACCCTAAATGTTTGAATAAGAGCACATTCATGAACAGGAATTTCCCTGACTGTTGGATTCTGTTTAAATCTTAATTTCAGATCTATGTTTTATTTATTTATTTTTTTTACTAAGATTGCTTTACAATCAAGTCTCTGGAGAATGTTGTAAATCATCCCCAAGCCTAGTACCACCCCGTGTACCAATTAGTACTGGGCCGCACAAGCAATAATTCATTATTTCTGTTTTGTTTATTGTCTGAGTTTGAACAATCTTTTATTTTGAAAAATCTTTTATTTTGAAAATGTATCACTTAAGTGCCAAAATTTAACCCACATTAGCAAAATGAACATTTTTGTGAAGGGGAAAAGGCCCAGTCAAGGACCCACAAACTGTCAAGAAATAGATCTGAAACCCATTTGTCAACAAATCAGGTGAATCCAGCATGTCTTTGCAAGAAAACCATCAACCGCTGTAGATCGCAAACGATGACGGCACGCGTTCGGCCCATTCACACATCGCATTTTTCTGCTCGCAATTTTGTCATTTCCAAAGATTTGTTATTTCCTATTAAGAGTGATGCGCACAAGCGGCTCAGTGTGCTTGCACCTTCCAGGCCAGGCACACTTAGTTGAAAACATCTTTACTTTTTAGAATGGCGTGAGCGCACAGCAAGTCACGTGACAAGAACTGACTAGCTTCATAATTTGTATGGGATATACACATTTCGGTAGACTATTTACCTCAGACAAACAAAGAACACCCAAACACTGGAGTGCTTTTTAATTTTCATCACCAAGTTGGAGGAAAGTCCTTACCCCAGGTGGAGGAGTTCAAGTGTCTTGGGGTTTTGTTCACAATGGAAGAATGGAACATGAGATTGACAGGCAGATTGGTGCAGCAGTAATGGAGTCCGTTGTGGTAAAGAAGGAGCTGAGCCGAAAGTCAAAGCTTTCGATTTACCGGTTAATCTACATTCATACTCTCACCTATGGTCATGAACTTTGGGTCATGATCGAAAGGACAAGATCTCAGATACAAGCTGCCGAAATTAGTTTCCTTGGCAGGGTGGCAGGGCCCACTCTTATGCATAGGGTGAGGAGCTCTGTCACACGGGAGGAGTTCGGTGTAGAGCTGCTGCTCCTCCACATCGAGAAAAGTCAGCTGAGGTGGCTCTGGCATCTGTTTCAGATGCCTCCTGGACACCTACCTAGGGAGGTGTTGCAGGCACGTCCCACCGGGGAAGACCTCGGGGAACCCCAGGACATGCTGGAGGGACTATGTCTCTCAGTGGCCTGGGATGCCTCAGTATCCCCCAGAGGAGCTGAAGGAAGTGTCTGGGGAGAGGGAAGTCTGGGGTTCTCTCCTAAGATTGCTGCCCTCACGACCCGGCCCCAGAAAAGCGGTAGAAAATTAATTAATAAATCAAAGTTGCAGCAATGTTTTGCCAGCTTGTCATCCTCAGAGAAACGGTTTATTGTCACCTGACAACATCCGTACAGCTCCCTTGTACAACACTTGTAGAATAGCCAAGTGTTGACCGGTCCGCGTGATAAAAAGGTTGAGGACCACTGTTGTAAATGAACACTCACATGCTAATGCCAGCTCCACTAAAATACCATTTAAATTCTTGCAGAACTGCATTTATAGGTTTGACAATTTGCTAGCTACAACTTTAGTCTTTCAATTAAGAAAATGAATGTTTAAAAAAAGTGATAAAACCATAAATGGTGAAGAAAATGAAATTATACAAGGAAGACATGAGTGAATTTTTAAGTAAACCACCATCTTAAGTAAGGATACTGTTTTTATATGCAGGCAGATGATCAAATACCTCAAGATTTTTCTGGGACACGTCTTGTGTCTTTGCCATAAATGTGATAATATATGCGCACAAGCACTTTGCTGAACATCACGGAAGAGCGCTAATATTGTCTGGCTGCTCGCTTTGCTGAATGGGCAGAGCATAACAATTTGTGCAGACACTGGTCTTCAAATAAAGCACCTGAAATGGGACTGGATTAGCTGCGATATCTGTTCTGTGACCACAAACGCACATTTATTCCAAGGTGGCTGAATAGCATTTTGAAACACGATGCTCAGTTTCATTTTGTGTAATTACTTTTCTAAGCAAGGCTTGATAAAGCCGGCTCTCGCATTCATCAAATAGTCTGAAAACTCACTTTAATCTTATTACGGCGCTAAATAATTCAGCGGGCGAGTCTTTACTGTAAAGCAATACAAGTTGCTTTTCAGAAGTGGAGGAAGCATTGTGCCTTAATCAGAGTCAGATGAGCCGGTGTTTCCTTGATCATATTTTTTTTACTGCCTTGTAACATGCCAACGTCTTCCAAGCAAAAACCAAAACTGACAGCTTATTACTGGCTACTCTTCAACCGCCTGCTAAGCACACCTTGAGGTTATTAACAAGCTCAACTTGGCCCTCTAAGACCAGCGAGAGCCGCATTAGCATTCAAGGTGGCAGCTTTTGTCAGAAGTGTTGTATCCAACAAAACAGAACCCTTGGGGGAAAAATGAGTCACACATTTCAGTAAGGGTGAAACCAAACCAACAGAACACACTGAGACAGGTGCCTGATAGCGCACAGTGCAACACCGCTGAAATGGGAAGCCGGTTAAAGCAGTAGGTAGACTGTTGAGGTATCTTTGAGAATCAGCTAGCGCATAGTTGGGAGCCTGGCATGTTGACTTATGGGCCGGCGGTCCTGCATTGCGTTGCGTGGCTTGAAAGAAAAAAAGTGTCTCACTTCATAAGCTGCAACTATTACACAAACCAAGTGCTTATGAACGTCAGATGAAATCTTCAGGAGAAATTGCAAACGTGTAAGACTGTAATTCTACATTCTAGCCTGCAATCGTAACCTTTTTTTTCTCGGTGTGATGCATATTCATGACTTTTGTATGCATAATGCAGGAACTTGAGTTTGGATAAGATGGCCATAGACGCGAACACACACACATTAAATCAGTAAAGCTGTGCTTGCGACAGCACACTGTTATTTGATCATTCTGGAACTGAAATAACAATGCAGAGGAGCAAATTAATAATACACAAGTGTTAATGATTAAACTCTAGCAGATGAAAATGGAATAGGTTTTGCATAAAAACTTATGTAATAAAAGTTTTGTTTTTTAAACTTGAGCGGAGTCGACTTATTTCGACACATAAAAGCTCACAGTAAACTTTACTCTTGATTGAACAAGTATAATTGCAGCATGCCTCTACAGCCAGAGCTGTGGTCACCCACTGTATGACACCAATAAAACACTTTCTGATGCTATATAAGAGCAGCTGTGTGTATTGTACAAGGATCTTAAGGTTAATGCCAATACCTGATAGATTTTTACAGTATTTTCTGAAGGATGTGTCAGTAGCTATGTTTCCATCCACCTATTTTCATGCGCATTTTGGACAGCAAATGTGTATAAAAAATGTTTGCGCATAATTGAGTAGGATAAACTTTTTATTCGATAAGAAAAGATGCGCATAAACTACGATGGGAACACTTTACCAAACAAATTTCAGTATGCGCATTAAAGTCATGTGATTTTGTTATAAGAGATCATGTCATGATAAAAAAATGTGTGTAAATGGACAAACCAGCAGGCTGAGCACATTGTAAAACATCTGAAAGGTTGTTTTGGTCTTTTTAAAACGCCTGAACTAGTTCAGCATTAGTGGCATTATATTATTAATGACCTCCAGAATTAAGAGTGTCTGTGCTTCGCATCTGACGCCTTTAAACACCACTACGCGTTCATTGCATGCCGGGATTGTCTTCTGAGATAAAAGTCATTGATTTAATAAAGAAAAGATTAACGCAGCTTTTCTTCCTGCAGAAAATTCCATTTTTACTGTTTATATTTTGCGCAGATGATCAGGAAGTGATTTTGTTCTCTTTGACTCGTTGGATGGAAACGCTGCTTTATTCGCACATCTTTTCGTTTCACACATAAAGTTAATTCACATTTTACTAAAGTACTGAAAATCGTATGTACCGTATATGTATGTACTGTAATCTTATAATATATAGCTATGACATATTCAGTGTTGGGGATAGTTTATTTTGAAAGTAATGCATTACAATATTGAGTAACTAGTTGCATTACTTTTACATTAC